CATGCACCTTCACTCCTAATAACACTGTGCACACATGTAGTTGAACAATATTTGTGCAACGCCTCTTGTATACACGGCATTATCCGCACACGGACTCTGGCAGGAACATGTACAGCGACCCTGCACGTGCATGCTGGTGATGGCTAGCTCTTCTTTTTGCCTCTGCCGAATGTTTTAACACGTCACTCTTGTTTCAGACGGAGAGTCCGATAATCCGGAGCGGCCTGCGCTGACCGTCCACTGTCCGCAGCCAGCCGATCCCCTCTATGAGTCCGATGTGGATATCGTGGAGAACAAGATAGCGGTGCTGGAGGAACGTGCAGACGGGGGTGACGGCGAGCAGCTGGGGCTGGTGGTGAGCGGCTGCTTTTCGCTCCACAGCGCGGAGGGCGACGCGGGTGGTGACGGGGGGCACGAGGATGACGGGGCCCTGGAGCAGCACCCCCAGGACGGTGGACAGGAGGCGGCCAAGGACAGATGCGGCTCCGGTGACCAGAAGGATTCCGACAGGGGGAAGCGGGGACTTCGAGTGCAGAAGAGGCGTCACCAGAGCAGCAAAAAGACGTACGAGTGTAGTGAATGCGGGAAGCGGTATAACCACAAAGACAGCTTTGGCTACCACGTCAAGACCCACACAGGCGAGAAACCTTTTGAGTGTGACGTTTGTAACAAGCGTTTTATCAAGAAATGTAGCTTTGATGATCACGTCAGGGCCCACACTGGCGTAAAACCATATGAATGTAACGTTTGTAAGAGGGGTTTCGCCACAAAAACTCACCTTGATTACCACGTCAGGACCCACACTGGGGAGAAACCATATAAATGTGACATTTGTAACATGCGCTTCATCCTGAAATGCAATCTTGAGTCTCACATCAGGACCCATACTGGCGAGAAACCATTTGAATGTGACATTTGTAACAAGCGTTTCACCCAGAAATCCACTCTTGATTCTCACGTCAGGACCCACACAGGCGAGAAACCATTTCAATGTAACATTTGTAAACATTGCTTTAGTGACAAATCAAATCTTCGTCGTCACAAGAAAACACACCGTATTGCTGCTGACCTCTGAATATGTGATTAACTGTTATTAGCCTTGGATAAAACTGACTTTTCCTTAGGCAGGGTATTTGTTGTATGGCTGAAAGTTCCACGTCTAGTAATGTAGGCTAAAGGCTGATGAGAAACTGACGACTCGACTGCCTCGTCTGTCATGTTGATTTTGTATTGAGTTGCTTCATTCAATTTAATGGTAATTAAGTGAATAAAAATAAAACATTGCACCTATCACTATTCTTCCTTGCTAATTACACGTTGCCCACATGTTCTTCAACATTAGTCGTGCAGTGTATATCCCGTATGTCCTGTAAGAGCACAGTTTTGTCATATATTTGTTATTCGTGGCTGTGCAATGCCCATTGTATGCATGGTCATGCTCTAGTATTTCGGGTCGCA